GAGAGAGACGGAGAGAGACAGAGCATGAACGGGGGAGGGGCAGAGAGAGAGGGAGACACAGCATCTGAAACAGGCTCCAGGCTCTGAGCTGTCAGCACAGAGCCCGACGCGGGGCTCAAACTCACAAACTATGAGATCATGACCTGAGCTGAAGTTGGACGCTTAACCAACTGAGCCACCCAGGCGCACCGCCCCCCCCCCCCCCACCAATAGACTATTTTTTAGAACAGTTTTAATTTTACAGAAAATTGAGCAGATGGTACAGAGAGTTCCCATATATATCCACTTCTCATCACGGTCTCCCCTATTATTAACATCTTGCATTAGCATAATACATTTGTTACAATTAAGGACTCAATATTGATACATCATTATCAACTAAAGTCCATAGTTCAAACTAAGGTTCTGTTAGTGTATTGTACAGTCTTATGGGTTTGGACAAAAGCATAATATCATGTATCCACCATTACCCTATCTTACATACGTGTTATATATGCATGACATATACTCATCATATATAACATGCAAATATATTTGTGTATAATAAATACATTTTGTATAGTGTATTTATATATAGTACCCAGGTTTTAATGAGTTTCGATAAATGTATTCACCTCCCCCCAATCAAGATGTAGAATATTTTCATCTCTACACACATTTCCATCATACTGCTCCCTCCCTGAGGCAGCCTTTACTGATTTCTATCGCCATAGCTTAGTTTGGGTCACACTAGGACTTCATAAGATGGAATCATATTGTAGACTCTTTTACATCTGGCTTCTTGTGATGCCTGCATGCTATCGTATACATCGGTGGGTCACTTGTTTTATTGCTGAGTAGTGTCTCAGGAGCAGGGAACCCAGAATCTGCTGCTTCCTATGTCTGCCCTCAAGTTCTAGAGAACTGTTCCCGGAGCTTCTGCATACCTTGTATGGTCCATCCTGCTCCTCTGGGGCCTCAGCAGGCATGTCCTCCGGGCTTTATCTCTCAGTCTCTCTTGCTGACAACTCCACTTCCCCCAGGCCGGGTGAGCATCTGATGGCTCCCATCAGAGCTGCTGGGAAGACTCTGGCTGGAGTGTGAAGAGACCTGCAGCCTCGGTGATGTGGTCTGACCTGGGGGTTCTGCAGAGACACCAAAAAGTCCTGGAGAGGCAACACCCACATGGTCTCCACGTAAAATTTCCGGGCACCCTCAGGTAAAGGTCATTGTGCTGGACAGTGAGAGTAGTCAAGGCTCAAACTCAGAAAAATCAAACTCTACTACTAAGAAAAAGAAAGAAAATACCAGGAGATTTGGACTAAGCTTAATAAAATTTATGATGACGACGAGTGTTGTGATGTAGTAACTCAGGCTAAGGAGGCAGCTCAATGAGACAACAATCAAGAGGGGCTTCCTGGAGGAAGAGGGACTTAAGCAGAGTAAGATGGACAAGTAGAAGTGTACATCTGATGATTTTGGAGTAGAAAAGCATGCTAGGAAGAAGGAAGAGCAGAGCAAAGACAACTGTGGATCGAAATGGCCTTGGATTTTCAGGTTGTGGAAATTAATCCTGTAAGGCAAGAGGGAAGGAGTGTGTGTGGAAATCTGGAGGGCAGAGGTGAAAAGAGGAAAACTTGGCAGGATATAAATATAAGCATAAATATAAATATGTGAAATATGTGTGTTTATACACACATACATTGTGTATTATATATACGTTATATATAATCTCAGAGTTGGGAATGACAGCATTAGAAGTTGACTTATAAACTAAACTACAGGGGTACCTGGGGGGCTCAGTCAGTTAAGCATTCAATTCTTGATTTCAGCTCAGGTCACGATCTCACAGTTAGTGGGTTTGAGCCCCACGTCGGGCTCTGTGCTGACAGCTCAGAGCCTGGAACCTGCTTCGGATTCTGTGTCTCCCTCTCTCTCTGCCCCTCGCCTGCTCACACTCTGTCTCAATCTCTCAAAAATAAATATACATTAAAAAAAATTCAACAAGTCTTTCTTGGAGGCCTCCTGGCTTGCTCAGTTAGTGGAGCGTGCAACTCTTGATCTTGGGGTTGTGAGGTCTAGCACCATGTTGGGTGTAGAGATTACTTAAAAATAAAATCCTTAACTTTTTTTTCCTTGGGCATATCATAGGAACCTAATATTTGTTGAATGAATGAAATAGAATATTTTTCTCCAGTGACAGCTCATTCTTATTATGTAAAATCACTGTTTCAAACATTTTGAATATGATCATTGTAGAGGCTGCTTTTAGGCAACAGCAATGGAATAGAGAAAGGGCCCACAGAGACCAACAGAGCATCAACTGAAAACAACCAGGCCCATCAGGCTGATGGGGTTTGGCAGTGGTGGTGGGGGTCCGGACCTGATGGCCAAGAAAGAATTCTTGAGACGTCCTTGGTGCAAAAAGGTGACTTATTAAAGGACAGGACCCTTGGGCAGAAAGAGCCACACTGGGATTGTGAAGAGTGACTGATTATACACTATGGAATTGGGGGAGGGAAGACAAAAGGGAGGACTCCAGGACTTTCATGTGCTAAAGAGGACTCCTAAGATAAGGGAGGCCTTGCTATTGTTAAGCTAAGGTTGTTTTCCCTCCTGTAGGACATTAACTTTTGGACAGTAGGGGGTTCCTGGAGAAATGTTCTACTCTGTATTTGCCTCAAGTATTTGTCAATGGGCTGTAGGTTATGAGGAAATCTAATTTTACCTCCCATTTCCTTCTTGCCTTTGTTCCCCACATCACTGTGGAGAGGAGGGTGATGTTAGGGCTCCAGGGAACTGAGTCTATGGGTTTCTGGAAGATTGCCTTTTCTTGTAATTTACTAAGACATAGGTAAACTGATGGAGACTCCTGTCCTGCATGACTGTGCTGTCAGTTAACCATTCATTTCCCCCTTTCCTTTGTTCTTGGGCAGCCAGGAGTCCCTGAGGGATATCACACATATCCCACCTGGCAGGGTGTTTGTGGGGTGAAGGCTTGCCTTCTGCTCCCACATCAAGGTGACCCACCTCAAAATATCCATAGGCCCTAACTAATCAATGGGTTACTTACAACCAGGCACAGTTACCAAATACCAAAAGGGGTTTCCCCCTTAAAATTCTTTTTTAATGTTTATTATTTTTGAGACAGAGAGAGACAGAGAGCAAGCAGGGGAGGGGCAGAGAGAGAGAGGGAGACACAGAATCGGAAGCAGGCTCCAGGCTCTGAGCTGCCAGCACAGAGCCTGACGCAGGGCTCCAACTCACAGACTGCTAGATCATGACCTGAGCCTCTCAACCGACTGAGCCACCCAGACACCCCAAGGGTCTTACACCTTTAAATACAGCCCCCACCCACTACCTCCCTGCAGACAGTGTCTCCCTTACTGTCTTTCCCCAGTCCCCTTCTGGTGTATTCATTAAACTTCTATTTCCTTGTTCTGCCTTGGGTGGATTCTTTCACTACCCATGCCGCCACCGGCTCTCACACAAATTGGGTTAGGTACCCCGCCAAAAGCACAACTTTATGAAACAAGAAACTGAAGAACAGAGGGGTTAACTAACTTGCCCAAATCTGAACAGCTGGCTTCAAACCCAGGGAGTCCAGCTCCAGAACCTTTGTACTGAATTATTATACATACTGCAATAAATGATGTGGAAATGTTGGGGTTTGGAGCTGATCACCAAGAATTCTTGAGATGTCTTTGGGGCACAAAAGGGTTTTTATATTAAAGCACGGGGACAGGACCCAAGGGCAGAAAGAGCTGCGTTGGGGTTGTGCAGAGTGACTGATTACTTACTTGGGAATTGGGAGAAGTAAAGATTGGGGAAGTTTCCAAAAGGATTTTCATATGCTAAAGAAGACGTGCGGGATCCCGGAAGTCTTAGCTACCGGCAAGCTAAGATTGTTTTTCCCTCTAGCAAAGCAGTAACATTAAAACAGTCGGGAGTTCCTAGAGGAACATCCTACTCACCTGTCTCAAGTATCTGTCTATGGGCTGCAGGTTATAAGGAAATTTAATTGTATCTACTTTTCCTTCTGCCTTTGTTCCCCACAACAGCAAAGCCTACAGAACTTTGTAAATAAATAATTAGAAAATGGGAACTGAGAAACAGAGAGGAATTCCTTCTGAACACTAGGTCTGGCTTTGTCTCTCTCTTTCTGTCTCTACCATTTTCTTACCACAGCTGCACCACACTGGGGAATGGCTCCTCTCTATCAGTCCTGAAGGGCCAGTCCCTGTGTTTGGTCTCCGTGATTGTCAGCAACTCCTTCCAGACTAAGCTGGACCCTTGAGAAGCAAGCCCCCAGCCTACCCAGTCCTCAGAGCCTGGGGTCCCAGCTGCCTCCAGGGGAATCTGGTGATGGATGGAGAGTTTGAATGCCAGACTCAACACCCTCTGGGATCCCATTTGCCTCTCACCATTAGCATCTCTGTTGCAGGGTGAGTTGTGGTAGGGAAGAGGGAGCAGAACACCTGGATTTTGAGCATTTATTTATTTTTCATTTTTTAAAGCTTTCTTTAAAATTGTTTATTTCTTAAGATTTTATTTTTAAGTAAACTCTACACCCAGTGTGGGACTCCAACTCACAACCCAGAGATCAAGAGTCACATGCTCCACCAACTGAGCCAGCCAGGCACCTCCTGAGTGTGGAGTTTTAAATCAGTGTGAAAATACAAAGAAAAGGTACTTTTCGGGATATACAATGCCAGTTTCTCCTAGAAATACATATACAAACAAGTAAGTAATACATCTGCCAAGGTGGGATGGATCCCAAGACTTGGTGAGGTTGCAAACGCCCTCCCTGGCTGTACGGAATGGAAGTCTTTGGAAAATGGCGGCCTCCGGTATCATAATCCTCATGGACGCGGCCATGTCCTTCCTTTGACAACCGCTGTAAGAAGATGACCCGCCGAATAGACTGTAGTACGCCATGATAACTACTGGCAGGGCGTGGCCTCACGGCTTCTACTGAGCCTGCGCACCATTCAATCGCCGGCGCGCCAAGAAACGCCCACGGGAATCGAAACCAGGCCGGAAGTGGCCCAGCGCGGCCATTTCGCTCAGGTTGTTAACTGGTTCTAACCTGTCCGTCGCCTGCGTGGGACGCTGCGGTGATTTAGGATGTCAGCAGTGGACGTCCTGTGGGGCCAATGAGGGGAACTCGGCTTGCGGTGAGTGTGACGGGCTCGGAGGACGAGTGGCGAGGGTCTGCGAGTGATGGGGTCTTTAGTGACGGGAGCTGTGCGGTAGGCGGCGGCTGCTAATCTGAGTTGGGTGATTGGCTCGGTCATTGTCAGTCTTTGCGTGTTTTCCGTGTGTGTAAGTATTTGGGGGGAACTTAAATTCCAAGTGTGTTTTAATACCAACTTTTATACTGTTGGTCCTTGACAGTCGTTCATTTGAGGACGGCGAACTGGCTTCTTGGACGGGCCTCAGGTAGCACTGGGGACGCTGGGGGAGTGACTCCCTGGAGGCAGTGATTGATGCAGGGGCAAGCGGCTTCAGGGATTGGGGGACTTGGAGGGTCCCATTGTAACATCGGGGACCAGTGTACTTGGGGACCTATAGAAATCAGTACAGTGGGGCGCTGAGGGTAGCTTATGGGACCCTATCGACTGGAGGCCTAGGGAATCTGTTATGGGGGTTTTCAAGGTCTCTCCTTAGGTCCTTGTGGACGTGATAAGGGTCAGAAATTGGCAGTGGAACGGGTGGATGAAGATCTCCTATTGGGATGCATTAATTGGAAGCCGGTGTTGGGGATTATTCCGGGTTCTGTGCAACTCAGTGCCTGGGAGAGAGACCTTTCTTGGCAGCCTGTGGACCCTGGCTGTGACCGTGTTGTGTCGGGGGAGGCATTAGGCGACCTTCTGGCCATCCTGTGGTTCACTCTTCGGGGATATCTGGAGGTCCTTGCTGTCATGACTGCATTTGGGTGCGGCGTTGGAAGGCAATTTATTATGTATTGTCAAGACATGGTAGGTGATCGGGGTCCTGATGCATGTCTGCAGGTTTTGGGGTGAAGGTAGGGGTTAAGTGCAGTAAACTTACTTTATTTTGGGAGGGAGAGGTAGAGAGCAAGCAGGGGAGGGGCGGAGAGAGAATCCCAAGCAGGCTCTGCTCGGTCAGCGTGTAGCCGGATGCTGGGCTCGAACGCAAAAACATTGAGATCATGACCTGAACCGAAACCAGAGTCAGGCGCTTAACCGCCTGAGCCACGCAGGCGCCCCATAAGTACAGTAAATTTAAGTTTTATCTTTGTTAGAAAAGTCCGGGCTGTCTAGGGTGTTATGGATGGGCACGGAAATGTCCAGAAGCTTAGACACACCAGCGTGGCCGGCTCAAAGCCTCAGCTCTCTGAAGGCAACGGGAGATAGAGATGGATGGTGTTTATGGAAGCTGACCGGGTAGGGGACCACGTGGGATAGAGGCAGCTGTGTGCAGTTTAGGAGGCACAAGAGAGGGGCACCTGGGGCGCTCAGTCGGTTAAGCATCTGACTTCGGCTCGGGTCATTATCTCACGGTTGGTGAGTTTGAGCCCCGAGTCGGCCTCTGTGCTGACAGCTCGGAGCCTGGATCCTGCTTCGGATTCTGTGTCTCCCTCTCTCTCTCTGCCCCCTTCCCCGCTCACTCTCTGCCTCCCTCTCTCTCTCTCAAATATAAACAAACATTGAAAAATATATGTTAAAAAAAAAAAAAGGCGGAGGAAAGTCTGGTTCTCTTTCCTTCCTTCCTTCTGCGGACTGAGTGACCGCAAGGCAAATTATGTAACAGCACTCAGCTTCAGTTTCCTCATCCACAAAATGGGTATAATCGTGATGGTAATGCTTAGTTGACAGGGTTACGTGCAAGTAGAACCAGGTACCTGATAACCTTACTTGCTGATTTTTATCCAGCGTTCACCGCATGCCGCGCAGGTGCTGGAGGCATCGTAAGCCTCATCAGCATGTACCAGTTTCCCGTCGCCTGTGATAAAAACTTGCGTTTCCATTTTGGAAACTGCAGTTAAAGTAACATCTTCATATTCTCACAGCTAAAAGGTGGCAGAGCTACAATTCAACCGTCCTCTAGAGCAAACTCTTACTGTGATTAGGATCTTGGGGCGCCTGGGTGGCTCAGTCGGTTAAGCGTCCCGACTTCGGCTCAGGTCATGATCTCGCGGTCCGTGAGTTCGAGTCCTGCGTCGGGCTCTGTGCTGACAGCTCAGAACCTGGAGCCTGCTTCTGATTCTGTGTCTTTCTCTCTGACCCTCCCCCCATTCATGCTCTGTCTCTCTCTGTCTCAAAAATAAACGTTAGAAAAAAAAAATAAAAGAAAAAACCTAAAAAAAAAATAATTGGGATCTTCTGAGCTTTTATTCCATAGTAGTGTGGTTTTGGAGTGGTGGTGGGGGTTCAGAGCTGATGGCCAAGAAATCTTCAGGGGCGCCTGTGTGGCTCGTGGTTGAGCGTCTGACTTCGGCTCAGGTCATGGTCTCGCAGTTTCTGGATTCGAACCCCACGTCGGGCTCAGTGCTGACAGCTCAGAGCCTGCAGCCTGCTGCGGATTCTGTGTCTCCCTCTTTCTCTCTCTCTGCCCCTCCCCCGCTGGTGCACGCACGCACGTGTTCTCTCTCTCTCTCAAAAATAAACATTAGGGGCGCCTGGGTGGCGCAGTCGGTTAAGCGTCCGACTTCAGCCAGGTCACGATCTCGCGGTCCGTGAGTTCAAGCCCCGCGTCGGGCTCTGGCCTGATGGCCCAGAGCCTGGAGCCTGTTTCCGATTCTGTGTCTCCCTCTCTCTCTGCCCCTCCCCCGTTCATGCTCTGTCTCTCTCTGTCCCAAAAATAAATAAAAAACATTGAAAAAAAAAATTTAAAAAATAAATAAATAAAAATAAACATTAAAAAAAAAATCTTGAGACAGATGTCTTTGATACACAATGGTGATTTTATTAAAGCATGGGAGCAGGACCCGTGGGCAGAAAGAGCCGCACTGGGGCTGTGACAGGTGACTGGTTATATACTATGGAGTTGGGGGAGGGAAAGGCAAAAGGGAGGTTTCCAAAAACGATTTTCATGTGCTAAATAAAAGAAGACTCATAAGATCCTAGAAGCCTAGCTGTTGTTAAGCTAAAGTTGTTTTTTCTCTAGCAAAGCATTAACATTAAGACTATAGGGAGTTCTGGGAGGAATGTTTCACTCTGGCCTCCACGCACTGCAGGTTATAAGGAAATTTAATCTTATTTACCGTTTCCTTCTTGCCTTTGTTCCCCACATCCTTATGCAGGGGAGGGTGATGTTAAGGCTCCAGGAGACTGAGTCTGGGTTTCTGGAGGTTAGGCTATTGATAAGATTGTCTTTTTCTTGTAATTTACCAAGACTTATGTAAACCCACGGGATTCCTGTCCTGCTTGACTGTGACCTCGGTCAGTTAACCAGGTCAGTTAACCATTCGTTCTCCCTTTTCCTTTGTTCTTGGGCAGCCACGAGTGCCTGAGGGATATCACATGTATCCCACCTGGTGGGGGTGGGGGTGGGGGGTGCGGATGTTAGCTTGCCTTATGATCCCACATCAATAGTATCTAGCATAGGGGCACCTGGGTGGCTCAGTCAGTTAAGCGTGGCTCAGGTCATGATCCCAGGGTCGTGGGATCGAGCCCCGCATCAGGCTCTGTGCTGACAGCTTGGAGCCTGCTTGGGATTCTGTTTCCCTCTCTTTCTCAAAATAAATAAACATTAAAAAAAAAAATTATGTCTAGCACAGTGGCCTTCCCCGAAGGACTCTCGAAAATACTTGCATGGAGCAAATGTTCGATGAATGACTGTGTGGGTGTTCCCTCTCCAGGACTTCCCGGTGGCTCTGCAGAGCCCCCGGATCAGACCACACCAGTGACGCTGCTGGTCTCCTTAGAAGCCCAGCCAGACTCTCCCCCGAAGCTCTGACTGAAGCCTCCAGATGCCCACCCAGCTTTGGGCTCCCGGGAAGAAAGGACTTGCCCACAAGAGAGACCGAGAAGTGAAGCCCAGAGGAGACATGACTGCTGGCGAGGATTTGTCCCAGAGGTCCCAGGCCCTGGGTTCAGAGGAGCAGGATGGACCATGCGAGGTAAGCAGGAGCCACTCCAGGGACAGTTTCCAGAAATTGAGGGCAGACACAGAAAGCAGCAGATTCTGGACTTTGTGTCGCTCAGACCATGTGCATCCGCCTGCCGAGAGCGGGCCGCGGGGGCTGATGTCCCCTCGTTCACAGGCCATCTGTATTGTAGAGGAAACCAAACCGGGCTGATGGAGGGGAGGCTTGGCCCTGGGGCAGAGGGAGAGGAAAAGGTAGCTCCTGATCCAGGTGAGAAGCCCCAGCCACTGGCAGGGAAATGCGAAACTTCATCCACCACTGGGTGTGTCCGCATGTTCTCAGCCGCTTGCCCCCAGCCGCTTGCCCCCTACCTGACTTCTCTTTACCTGCTGGCAGGGGTTTGCTTGGTTTCCCGTCTCCGCATGGGTTACAGGAACATAGGATACTAGAGCGAGAACTGCCTTTTAAGGACACGTGTGGGTTTTCCTGTTTTCAAAATGAATAAAAATGCCAGAGAATAGTGTTTCTAAGTTGCCCCAGATATTAATATTTAATATATGGAAATAAGAAAGAAACATTCTTGGGTATACTCAAGACTTCCTAAATTACAAGTTAGTCTGTGTATTTAAAGACATTGTGTGTTTTTTTTTTAATTTTTTTTTTTTTAACGTTTATTTATTTTTGAGACAGAGAGAGACAGAGCATGAACGGGGGAGGGTCAGAGAGAGGGAGACACAGAATCCGAAACAGGCTCCAGGCTCTGAGCTGTCAGCACAGAGCCCGACGCGGGGCTCGAACTCACTGACCTCGAGATCATGACCTGAGCCGAAGTTGGCCGCTTAACCAGCTGAGCCACCCAGGCGCCCCATGACATTGTGTGTTTTAAAACAGTAATGGGTGGCCATAATAATAAACCGTGTGTCACTGCCTTGTGATGGGTTTATAATCAGTTACAGAGAGATGTCCTGTTTTTTAAGTATAGTAAATGCATGGGTTATTACCACTGTGAACCAACATACTGTGAGAAGATTATATATTTCAATTATGTTTAAAATCCACTCCACCTGACAGAAACATTTGATAATAGAAAACATTGAAGAACATTAAAACTATTAAAAATAAATGCCGAGTAAAAATCATTTAAAAATTAAAAGATATTGCCGCAGATATTTAAAAGTCATTCTTTTTTTAAAAAATGTTTATTTTTGGGGAGATCTGGGTGTCTCCGTCGGTTAAATATCTGACTTCGACTGAGGTCATGATGTCGGGGTTCGAGGGTTTGAGCCCCTCATCGGGCTCTGTGCTGACAGCTCAGAGCCTGGAGCCTGCTTCTGATTCTTTGGCTCTCTCTCTGCTCTCTCCCTGCCCCTCCCGTTTGCACTGTCTCTCAAATACATAAATAAAAACTTAAAATGTTTATTTCTTTTTGAGAGTGAGAGCATGAGCAGGGAAGGGGCAGAGAGAGGAAGACAGAATCCCAAGCAGGCTCTGCACTGTCCACACAGAGCCTGATGTGGGGCTTGAACTCCCAAACCATGAAGTCATGACCTGAAATCAGGAGTCAGACGCTTAACCTACTGAGCCACCCAGGTGCCCCCTAAAAGGCATGCCAAAAATGAAAAGGTAAAACACCCAAATTTCACCCAGAACTGTCCAAGATCTTTGTTGTGTGACTGTTAGTTTGCTCGGGCTGCCGTCACAAAGTGCTACAGCCTGGGTGGCATAAACAACGGAAATGTATTTTCTCATGATTCCAGGGGCTGGAAATGCAAAGTCAAGACGTCAGCAGGGGTCTTCCTTCTGAGGCCTCCCTCCCTGGCTTGTAGATGGATGGCTTCTGACTGTCCTCGTGTGATCTGCCCTCTGGGGGGGGGTCTGTGTCTCATTTCCTTTCCTTTTTTTTTTTTTCTCTTTTTTTCCCTTCATGTTTACTTATTTATTTTGAGAGAGGGAGAGAGGATCCACAGCCGGCTCCTCACTGGGGAGGAGCTCGATTTCATGAACTGAGATCGAGACCTGAGCTGAAATCAAGTCAGCTGCTAAACTAGCGGCTTAACCAGCTGAGCCACCCAGGTGCCCCTTAATCTTTTATCAGGACCCCCAGTCATACAGGATCAGAGCCCACTCTACTGACCTCATTTTAACTTGGTTACCTCTTTTTTAAATTTTTTTTAATGTTTCTTTATTTTTGAGAGAGAGGTAGAGACAGTCCGAGCGGAGGAGGGTGGGGCAGAGAGAGAGAGACACACACACATACACAGAATCCGTAGCAGGTTCCAGGCTCTGAACCCACAAACCCCGAGATCATGACCTGAGCCAAAGTCAGACAGACAGACAACCAACTGAGACACCCAGGCTTTAATTTTTTTTTTAATTTTTTTTTTTTTACCTTTTTATTTATTTTTGAGACAGAGAGAGACAGAGCATGAACAGGGGAGGGGCAGAGAGAGAGGGAGACACAGAATCGGAAGCAGGCTCCAGGCTCTGAGCCATCAGCCCAGAGCCCGACGCGGGGCTTGAACTCACGGACCGCGAGATCATGACCTGAGCTGAAGTTGGACGCTTAACTGACTGAGCCACCCAGGCGCCCCTTGAGACACCCAGGCTTTTATTTTTTTTTTTTTTTTTTTTGAGACACCCAGGCTTTTAAAAGACCATGTCTCCATGTACTGGGGGTTAGGACTTGGCCATAAGAATTTTCTTGGGTGTGGGGAGCTTGGAGGGGAGACACAGTTAAGCCCATAAACGGTGACAAACAGTACATCGTAGGTAAATGCCTTTCCTTTTGCCTTGATATGTGTTGAACTGTTAAGAGCAGGATTGAAAGCGTGTTCAAGTGGGTGTTATGATACATGTTACTTCATATCGGCTCATTTCCTTTTAGATGATGAAAATAATTTTGCCGGCTTGCCCTGGTTTTCGTTTTGCCGTTTCAGTAGATCCTCCCGTTGCTAATTCAGATTTTCACTCAGCTTCTCTGTTCGTGTTAGGCTATTTGCCACCAACATTCGCAGTCTTTTCATCGTGGTCTTCCCTCGGCTTCTGCCAATATTGTGTTGTTATTCTCTACTTTTTAAGCCTGTTAATCTGATCAAAAATAAATAGATGCCACGGCTGCTTTAATTTGTATTTTTTACGTTGTTTTATTGGTCTTTTTTTAAATTGGAGTGTAGTGACACAATGTTACGTTGGTAACAAGCGTACAACATATTAAATTGACAAGTGCTATCATCTGTCACCACAAGTGTTCCCTACGCTGTATCTTTTATCCTTGAGACTCATTGGTTCCATAGCTGGAAGCCTGTACTCCCCACTCCCCACCCTTGCCGATCTCCCCATCCTCCTCCCCTTCGGCAACCACTGGTTCTCTGTGTTTATGGGTCTGTTTCTGCTTTGCTTGTTCATTCGTTTTGTTTTTTAGATTTCAGATACAGGTGAAATCATACAGTATTTGTCTCTGACTTATTTCACTTAGCACAAGACCCTCCCGGTCTATACACGGTATATGCACACCCGTATGTCTAACATTTATACGCACCCCACATCTTCTTTATCCGTTCCCCTGTTGATAGATACTTAGGTTGCTTCCATATCTTGGCTGGTGTAAATAATGCTGCAGTAAACATAGGTTACCTCTTAAAAGACTGTGTCTCCAAATACAGGCACACTCTGAGGTACTGGGGGTTAGGACTTCGACAAGTCCTAACCTTTTCAAGGCACTGTTTCCACTTTCTTTGGGTAAATATCCAGTAGCGGAAATACTGGATTGTGTGGTATTTCTATTTTTAATTTTTAGGGGACCTTCATGCTGTTTTCCACAGTGGCTGCACCCATTTACATTTCCACCCACAGTGCGTGAAGGTCCTTTGGTCTCCACATCCTTGCCAACACTTGTTACTGTCTTTTTGTTTTTTTGTTTTGTCTTTTTATATGAAAATTATTGTCAAATTGGTTTCCATACAACACCCAGTGTTCATCCCAACAGGTGCCCTCCTCAATGCCCATCGCCCACCCTCCCCTCCCCCATCAACCCTCAGTTTATTCTCAGTTTTTTTTTTATTAAAAAAATTTTTTTTTCAACGTTTATTTATTTTTGGGACAGAGAGAGACAGAGCATGAACGGGCGAGGGGCAGAGAGAGAGGGAGACACAGAATCGGAAACAGGCTCCAGGCTCTGAGCCATCAGCCCAGAGCCCGACGCGGGGCTTGAACTCACGGACCGCGAGATCGTGACCTGGCTGAAGTCGGACGCTTAACCGACTGCGCCTGGGTGGCGCAGTC